TGGCGGATGCGCCATCCCTGGAGACATTCAAGGCCAGCCTGGTTGTGGTTCTGATCAACCTGACCTAGTTGAAGATGTCACTGCTCGTTGCAGGGGGTTGGACTAGATGACCTTTGAAGCTCCCTTGCAATCAAACTATTATGTGATTCTGTGATTCTATGATCATTGGTACTTGGTATTTCTGCCCACATGCCTGGAGTGAGGCTCGGTGAAGATCAGAATAAATCCCATGAGACCTCTTTGAACAACTGCTAAAATTCAGTAATTTGAAAAAGCAGGGGGTACTAAAGACCAAGATTTGTCTTGCATCCTAAAATAAATTACATTTTCAACTCCCCGAGAAGACAGCAAGTTCCTCCTTGCTTGAAGAACTGTGTTCCCTGCTTAATGCTCTGGCTGCGTGTGACTGCACTGCTCAGATACTCTGTCCCCTGGCTCTTCTTTCCCAGTTTCACCATGTTCAGCCACATCAACCCTGGGCTCCCTTGCCTCAGGCTCAGGCAGCAAGGGGTCAGCAGCCAAGTGCAGCAGCAAATACCCCCGAAAGCAGCGAGCAGGGACCTGCCAGCTGCAGATTACCAATGATGTAGCCCAACCGAACACATCTAATTTCCCAGTCTCCGCTTCTTGTGCACATGACCTGTTAAAAGGATTCAATTAAAAGAATTCCCAGAGCTAATCTAGTGATGATATGATGAGAGACAGGAGCTCGAGCGTATCCCAGAGGTAGCTGATCGGGTTTCCTAGGATGTATTATTTATGGGCCATCTGCTTTAGACAAGTATTGAAGTCTGAAGGGGGGAGGATTTTGATGGAATTCACTCATTTAACTGGGATGAAGAGTTCTGTGGGTATTCCGTCTGTCTGTGTCCCGTCCCCCCCCCCCCAAAAAAAATGCTGCAGCAGCTATTTGTGGAATAAAGCTGGCAACAGGGTACCTGTGTGCTGGTGCCTTCAACAAAATGCTGCTCAGCTCTGAGAGCTCACACACGTCCTCACAAGAAGGGACCATTCATAGCATGGTCAGAGGTACAAATGCATTCCAGTCTGAGTTCCTGGTACTGTGAAATACAGGCATATAAACAGAGCCGTGGCTGGAATGTGAGGAGGCCGGGGGACCAGCCAAAAGAGGCAGAGTCCACAGGAGAATGGGAAATATTTCCCCAAAATAGCTGATTTAGTTACTGTATAGCTCAGTAGCTGCAGGATTTGTTTACTGCTATTATGGGCAACATGAGGCAAAATCACACATGTAAAAAAAGAAACTGTCTCTCTCTCTGATTTGGGCTGACGTGCTATTTAAATAATATGGGTCAAGAAATCTGAAGTAAAGTATCTTCGTGAACAGGACTTGTGCTCCTTCCCATCTTGTCTGTCTCCCATGGTGCTAAAAGCAGCCTTCTGCTGACATTTCCCCATCACGGTTGCATCATCAGATTTCTAAATATCAAAGCTTCCTCAGGCTAATGTCTAATCCTTTCTTAGTGACGAGAAATGAAATTCCTCTCAAAGCTTTGGTTGGGAAGGGTCTACAAAACCTTTGCATAGAAATTTGCTGGAAGCTACCTGTCACTTTGCTGCCCCTTTTCCAGTAATTCAGACTAATGACTCGTCAACACCTTTTTTTTTTTTCCTTAATTCTTCCTTTTGCATCTGTCTAGAAGTAGCTTTCTGCTCCAGTTACTGGTTTAATAACACAAGGCTATCTACTGAGGTACAGTTCTCACCCAGTCCTATTTGATTTGTCTCCTGGCTGTTTTCATAATCCTTATTTTGTTCGTTTTTTTAAAAAAACCCTCAAAACCTGGTTGTAGCATTCAAAGATTTGTGCCTCTGAATTGGGCTATTCCTTCAGAGCTGTTCTCCTGGATGCTGAACTTCTGAAGGAAAGTTTTGAGAATGAAAAATGCAGATTTATAGTCACAGACTGTAGGAAAGGCAGCTATCAGAAATCCTTTTAGGCAGAGTTTTCACTTAGTTGATATTTCAGTTATTCCTCTATGGAAGGCTTCTCCCAGAGCTGCTACCTATCAGTGTTTTATCCAGACAGGCAGGGAACTGATTTCTGTTTGATAGGTGACTTGGTGTATCATCCACATGCCAAATGTTCAGGCTGGGAAATGCAGCCCATGCAAGGAGCCTGGATCAGGCCATACTCCAAGATTGTTCTTGCTTGTGAGCTTTGCTGTGGTGTCTTTCCAATGTAGCTGCTCCCCACAAGCTGTCCCACTGCCTCCTCTGTCTATGGCGTGCCTAGACACCATCAGGCTGTTCTAGCTAGGGAGAGTGCTGTGGGACACAGAAGCCAGGAGAAGGGAGCAATGAAGCTCCCTCACGGGTGGCCTTCAGCCACATCAGCGTAACCAGTTATGCATGAGGACCTACAGCAAAGGTTTGGGTGCTCTCAGTATCCCCTGCTCTGTGGCACATGGACAGTAAGGGTTGTGGCACTATGAGCCAGCTGCATACAGCAGAGAAGAGTTGCATGAAGCCCCATCTGTGCGGACACACAGATGGGTGTCTTCTGTATGCTGCCATAATGTACCACAAAGGCAACCCCTTGGCGCATGCCTCAATCTCTAAATACCCAGTAAGGTGTGTGCAGACAGAAACCTGCATAAAGGTACACAGGGATGTGTACTATCTTCTTGCTGCAAAAATCAGAGTTAGCAAGATGATAAAAGCCACTGGAGACCCTTTTAGTTCCTGTTGCTGTAAGATTGATACCACTGGCATATTTGTCCCTCCTCCTCCCAGCCAAGAAAACTCCCATGGACTGGATTTCTCTCCCCAGACTGCTCTAGTTGGCAGCACTTCACCTACTGTAGGGAAATGACTTGCAAGGACAAGACCTTTGAGCAGAATAGAGGGCCAGAGGTTTTAAAGCCCTTGCTTTTGAGCAGGTGTCTCTGCAGAGGCTTCTTTACCTGCCAGAAAACCAGGCAGAAGAGTCATAAGAGCCTCTTCAGGAATACCTTTGAGCAAGAGCCATTGTGCATCCCTGTGTGTTTGCACAGCCCTTGTCATGAAGGATTTGGCTGCTGCCACTGCACAATTAAATCAGGGGTGAATCCAGACTCTCTGATTTCACTGTTGGTGGTCATCGCCATGGCCACACCACCATTCTGGGTGGCAATGATTCCTAATCACCTCTTTTCCTTGGGATAATGTTCTGTCAGTTGGCTGGAACAATCTCACCCGTTGCTGCTGTTCAGAGGAGATCCCCATTGCTCAAGTTCAGCTGCCCGTTATCCATGTCTTCCCTTGTCCCATGTCATATGCTTGTTGGGCATGTCATCGTGCTCTGCTCACAAAGCCAGCTAGGAGAGCAGACCAGCTCTGTTGCTGCTGTGTTAGTCTTCTGGCAGGTTATACTTCTGCCACATTAGTGAGCTAAACCGGCTAGGTGAAGAGATGCACTGTTGGAGCCTGGGTGGCATAAGGAGTGAGAGCAGCTCCTGGAAGGGATGAAGGGAGAAGAGAGGGTGTTCATGGTGGTGAGACACCAGAGAGGCTCAGTCTCATCTAACTTAGTTCTCATCCCTGCATGACGCCCTCCTGCCCACTGTGCTGTGGCTCATTCAGTCAGTGACAAGGTGGATTAGGAGAGCAAGTAATAAAAGTTTCTCTTTTACCCCTTGGGGTACTTGCAGCCAAAGCCCCTTCCTGATCCAGGTTGCTGCATATGAAGAGCTGTGTAGACTGGCATAACATTGTGGAGAAAGGCAGGGCAGGGGTTGCTTAACCCATCTCTGCTGTTAAAAGGTTTACTCATCAGAGCCTCAAGGACCAGACCTGAAGCTAAATTTTAGTTTTCTAAGAGGGTATCTCTTCGAGTCAGTGTGGATGTTTCCTGTGGAGTCAGCAAAGCAAAAAGAAGAAGCTTTTGGAGGCTTTCAGGTCCTGTTCCTTTAGGTTTAAATGCCCATGCTAGGTGGACTGGGTTTTGCACAGTAAGCAGCAAGCCACAGTAATGGTATTTCTGAGGTCTGCGTGATCATGTTACTTCCAAGTGGCAGCAGTAAGTACAGCCTCATTTCTCAGTACTCCTGCATGAATGGAGACGTGTGGCCGGTTGCCTGTAGTTGAGTCCCTTTGGAGTATTTGAGCCCTTTGCAGTCCATAACTGCAAAGAGCTGCTTCATCACTGTACATCCAGATATGTGCCATGGCCATGGATATTCACTGTCATGGGGCCAGACATCCTGAGGTATGATCTGAAAGGTACATTCATTTCCACTGAATGCCTGGATATGTATCTTCTCTTAGGTGTTCTGGTGCTATAAATACATAATATTCCTTTAAAATATGGCTGTAACTGCATCAAAAGTTTCTTTAAACCAATTGTGATTTCTTTACGCCCTTAGCAATGTTACTGGGATGTCCCACTGAAAATCAGAAGTTTTTAATATGCAGATGCCATGCTTGATGCCTGTCCCTGACTAGTTACAGATTCATAGAAATCTGGTATTACTAATGTCCATCTTGTTTATTCCTCTTGGGTTATCCATAATAGGAGGAAAAAACATTGCACCTGGAATAAAACATAGTTTTGCTGCTGTGCAGTTTTGAGCATGACTGGCATTTACCTGGAGCACGGATCTTTACAAAAAGGAGCCTTGTTTCCTGCAGTAAGGTGAGCCTGCAGCCATGCCTTCTCCCTCAGGCTCTCCTGCTGACCCTAAGTGAGCCACCCCTCCATGCACCTCCTGGATGCTCTGCTTCACCAGCACATACGGGCTCCCAGCACCTGCAAGAAATTAAAGAGCACTAAAATACTTCATGTGGCCAGTCGCTCATCGTACAGCCGGCACAAAAGCCCAAATTCCTTTCATATGAGAACACGGGTACATCTGCTTGCAATCATCTTTCTCCAGGCAGCCGGCCTGATTAAGCAGAAATGTGATTCTCCACACTTGGTCCAAGGAGTGCTTGGCAGACACCCGCAGCCAAGGGGCTGGGATTCGGGAGAGGCAGAATAAACGCGCTTTTCACGCCCAGCATCCCCAGCAGTCCTGTGGCTCCTGCGCTAGCAGCCTTGGTCACTTCTTGCCCTGCTTGCAGGAGGCAAGACACGCTGAAATAAAGAGAAACTTGTTCTGTGGCAGGAAAGGTCATTTCTTCTGGCCAGGCTTTGGGGAAGGAGACAGGAAGCATATTATTTTAAAGGTAAACCGATGAAATATTTGTTTGCTGGAGGAAGGGGAGGAATGTCAGAAACATGTCAGTGTTCTTTAGAAAAAGTTATTGTGGTGTCTTACTCCTGCCCTGAAAACAGCTGCAAGGTGTTGTAAAGAAATGTTTTAGCCCTCAGTGATACACGCAGGGTATTTTCCTTGCTGGAAGGATTCTCTTTGTCCGTCCGTGCATGCGTGTGTGTGCTCACGGGGATGTGAATGCACACTCCGTAGCAGATGCAAAGGTTGAAAATATTAGAAGTAAGTAGACATAGAGGGATATCAGCAGAGTCTCTGGTAATGCTATTTGTTTGCTTCTTAATATTTTCTTTATTGCAGCTGAACAACAAGGAATCGCTAAAAATGACTACTTCAGTGAAGGCTGCAGTTTGTAGCACAGATGTGTTATGGTTTATGTACTTCTGTAGATTTGCCAGGTTCTGTTTCAAAACTTGCCTTTCATGTTGCTTCACAAGAGGACTGGAGAAGTAATTTATAGGTGCAATTAAGAATGCCATGTTTGGGGAGTTAAGGGAAAGTATTTTTAAGGAAAGCAAACTTGACAATTGAGTAGCTCAGCTTCACTGTGACTCCTGAAAGCAAGCAAATCTGATCATCAGTTAATATGTTTGTAAAAACTAGGTTGCACCCCTCCAAGACTCTTTTTTACCAGCTCATAGTCCAGAGACATAGCCTGAGGACTTCAGCCAGAGCTGCAGAAGCTGTGCTTTGCCAGAAGAGCGCTGCAGTTGTAGCTGTAGTGGCCCCAGGGCACGTGTGTCCCAGCCCAGCTGTGGCGTTCCTCTGGCTGGACTGATTGAAATGGCCAGAAGTGACAATTCACCACTCCTCTGACTAACGCAGCCATGCAGGGAAGTGCTGTGCTGGCAGGCTGGGCAGGCAGACTGGGGACAAGGCAGCCTGCTTTGTGTTTGCCATTTGGAAGCATATGGTTAAATGAGGTATGGACTTCTAAACTCTTTGAACTGTACTCTTGCCAAGACCTACCAAAGTCTTGTTTTAGGCCAAGTTATGTCGTTGGCCTCAAACAAATGCCTAATGCACTCTCCGAAAATAAGTCTGAGTCTTAGCAGTTTTAGGAATCTAGCTGGTTAAAAGTTCTTAATATAAGGGTATGGTGGAAGAACATAGTCTCTTACTAAGTAGAGGGAACAGTGATGGACAGACACTGTTTTCAAAAACAGTTGTCATGCTGGTGTCTATTCATTTGTCTATAAGTTTGACCATTGCAGTTTATTCACCTGCATTCATGTAGACGTGCAGAATTTTAAGGTGACAGTAGAATGACCTATGTTAGTACAAAAAGATTCAAAAGGAAACATCTGCCATTAAAAAACAATATGAAAAAAACCACATTTATTTAGCAAGGCTGGAATACAGGAATTTTTGCATGCTGTGTTTGGCTTGACTTGCTATAGACAAGACTTAATGATGGACAGAAGGGTTGTCTGGAAGAAAATGTGCGGTGTCTGCTATTTCCCAGGGCTTCTCTCCTGCATGTTCATTTGGGTATTGCAACACACTGATACTCTGTCTATGCATATATCTATTCAGGTATTATTTACAGGTCTCATACTTAAATGTCTTTTTTTTTAATATGGCTTAATTCTCTGTGAATACTAATGTGGATATGTGGAGATCAGACACAAATGGGATGCCTTTAAGGCTCTGTTAACGGCCTCTGAGGATATTGATCACCAAGTGTGGCTACTGAGAAAAGATGCTGAAACCTTTGGAGCTGAACAGTTAACGGAGTATGGATCAAGCCTGGGTTTTCAGTTATAGGAAGGATAAGGTGTTACATAAGTCCATCCCTATGCCAGTCACTCAGTCTGATGCTTGGGTCTCAGTGCAGTGATGAGAAAATGCGCATCTTTGTTACTCTGCTTTGTGAAGGCTGTGCTTACAGAGAGTATCCTTACCACTCACCACACAGCTTTCCTCCTCAGCAGGAGGCACAAGCACGAGTTTTTAACTTCTGGAAGTCAATGTAATTTGCAGAATTGGGTCCTGCTCTTGCACCTTAGTCTTTCTGATCTGCTACACCATCAGCCTTTGCCTGCTCTGTTGCTTACCTGCAACTCCTCCGCTCCTTGTAGCACTGTTGTCAACCATTGACCTTCAGATATTGCCTGAAGCTACTGCTGTGCAATTGATGGGAAAATAGTAACTGTTAGGTTGAAGGAAAGTTGGCTTCAGCTGACATTTTTGTATAAAGTCAGAGGAATCAATTTCATAGGTGATTAGTAAATGTACAAACTCCAACCGCCTTTTTTACTTTTCCTTCCTTTCACATCCAAGAGTGATGCATTGATTTTAAGGCTAGAAGACATCAGTCTGGCCTGATCACCTGCATAATTCAGATCCTCTGACATCCCTATATAAACTCATGTTTCTGGATCAAGAAGAGTACTTGTGACAGAGACTTGTCTTTTAGCAAGGAAAAAAACCAAAACCCTTCCCTTGATTAAGAAAGAGCCACATAGTCCGAGACAATCCTTTTGAAGTTGTTCCAGTGCTGTCCAAGAAAAATGTCTTATACCTTCCATATGCTTGTTAACACCCATCTGATATTTCCCCTCAGAAGTTAGACTCTGAGCCCATTACACATCCAATTAGGACACAAACACTCTAGAAGAGAGGCTGCTCCACTACCTGCATATGCATCACCCATACGCAGACTGTAAATATTAGTAAACAGAATACGTTTCATAACTGTAATTGTTTTTGTCACAAATTCAGCCTCAGATCATTCTGGATAATTTATTCCTGAAGCAGCTTACATAGTCTGGGAAGAAAAAAGGCAAACACATTTTTCGATATAATGCTATGAAGAGAATATGCATAGATCTTTGGATCATATTCCTGGTTGGTATTGTTTATTCAAACCTAAGAGTTTAGATCTGTGTGTGTGAGAGCTTATTTTTAAATGGAAATATATGATGTTTAAATGGAAACAAGAGATGAATATGGGAGAGAAACCTCTGATGAAGTAAGAAGAGGTGGAATTTGTTCATAATGACACCAAAATGAACATATTCTGTCAGCCTTTGTTTTAGTTTCTTTTTTTTTTTAGCCTAGCCTGGAGTCATCTGTGCACTTGCAGGGAAATTAATCTGTGCTTTGGGCAGCTATCTCTCCATAGCTAGGGGAGACTGATGGATTGTTTCACATATTAAGATTGTAGGTTCAGTGGGAACTCTGTAGGAATGGTGACAGTAGTGCAGATCTGAGGGTTTTGGCTTCTTTACTAAAACAGATAGCTTATAATATTTGCTCTTTTTTTTTTTTTTAGATATAAGGTCCTGTTTATGCTATGTATTTCCCTCTTCTTTCTGCTGCATGTTTCTGTTCTTTTTTTTTTTTTTTCTGTGGTTTTCTCTTCTTCCTCTCTAAACATTTCAGTTTGGCTTGTTTAAATTACAAAATAAATTATGAAGTCATGTAAAGTTAGTACTATGGAAAAACTTTTCTATGGGCATATGTAGTGGCTTTTTGACGATTCTGTGATTTGGTTATACTGGGCTTGCTTTTTATTATTCAGTGAAACATTATTCCTCATTAAATGGCCAATCCAAACCCCATGACACAGATTTCATATGAAAGAATCAACGGTAAAGTGTTGACTTTACTAAACCCAGGGACAGTTGCTGTATTTGAAGCAGCAACACCAGGATTCTTCTTGTTCATTTGCTCACAGCAGCGAGCCTCCTAGGTCTCTGAAAAAAGGGCTCACATATTGGTTACTGCTTGCTTCAAAGTCTCTGTGCTGCCCCAGTTTTCTCTTTGTTGAAAAAAGGCAGCAAGCCTCCTATCTGCACCCATCTCCTCCCCGCTGCCCAGGGAAGTGGTGGAGTCACCATCTCTGGTGGTACTTGAAAGGCTCGTAGGTGTGGTGCTTAGGGACACCATTTAGTGGTTAGCTAATAGAAAGGCAGTCACTGTCCCTCCATTACAAAGAGTACTACAGATCTGCCATGCAGGGTGTGAAGAGATGTTAAAGCAGGAAAATGCTCTTTAAAGCAAAAATCATCTCGGTCTTCTCTAAAAACAAGGAGTTGGTCATGAAGGTTTACAATAGCAGGTCTTCTGAAAGGAGGAGGCAAAAGACTTCAGTTTTGGCAGATCACCCCACCTTGAGTAGATGCAGTTTCAGAATCCCTATTTCTGAAGCAGATAAGCTTTCTTGTTAAAGTCCGTATTTGATTTGGCCCCAGACTGAGTGATCTGGCTCAAAACAGGGCTGTTTTGCCCACCAGGTCATTTCTGAAGCAGAGGAAACCTCAATCTGGAGATGGACAGTAGCATATTAGCTCCTCTATGCCACAGCCATCCCTTACGGCAAGAGCTCCAGGGTGTAAGAGCAATTATGTCAATGCCTAGAGGAGCTAGCAGGGACTTCAGAGGCCTGTCTACATCAACAAACGCAGGCAGGTTCTTCTGCTTGGGTGAAGGACAGCCAGTGTGAGTTTAGAAGTCATGAAGCCCTATTAACATAGAGCTAATGGGCCCTGCTGTGACATGGGTCAGGTTCTGTGCCAGGCTTTGGGATCAGAGCCCAACGGTGTTCCTCTGCCATCCAACAAAAACAACTATAGGAGAGCAAAGAGCCAGGGATGAAGCTCCTGCTTTTCCAGAGGAGCGTCTGTATGATGGCATTTTTCAAGATCCATGCATAGCAACAGCAGACTGGAATTTACTCTTTCACAGACAAATGGGATTCTGTAGGGCTTTTGTGATTAAAAATATATGTGTGCATGAGTGCTTGCGGCAGACACACCTAAATGATCACAACAAGCAAAAAACATCCCCTCAAATCTCTGTTCCCCTCAGCCATTATGCTGCCAGGTTAGTACACACTCCCTTTGAAGTCAGTGGCATCCAAGGACAGCCGGGTGCAGTGGGGCTTCACACAGGAAGATTAAAGGTGTTACTGAGCAGCAGCAAGCAGCAGCAGCACAAAGAGACTAC